TTATTCTCATATCTGGGTATCTCGGAATATCAGCGGGTTGACGCATAGCACTCTGGATCCATTCCAAATACAGTAAGGCAGAAACGGGGAGCTTGGCTTTGCACTCCAGAAGCGGATGGCAGCTTTGAAAGTGAGCAAATTGGCCTGGATCAGCAAGTTGAACAGTACAAATGGGATCAAAAGTATCGTCCACCACAGCAACTCAAGGAAAAAATCCATCATAGGTGATAGTTCCGTAGCTGATACTTCATAGGACAACAACAAAGGCTGGCCAAAACATTACTGCAGTGTTAGAAGAATAGATAACAATTACTGACTCGCAACAAAGGCATATATGTATTTATTCTTAAGCCGGTGTGATCCAAGCTTTGCTACCATCAAATGGATCTGCAGCTATTTTAACCTCCGTGTCAATTAGTTGAAAGTAAGCGTCTCTTAATGATCGCAAGATGTTCCGGAAGTGTAGCATCTGCCGAGCAGCAGCTACCAGCTGTGCACCAAAGTTATTCTTCATAGCAAAGACTGGGAGTTCAAAAACTCCAAGTTGCTCCGTGACATACCATCCCCCCTCCAAGTACACAACCGCCACCAAGACATAACGGAAATTGTGAAGAATGATGCCTGGAACAGGGAGCTGAGCCACAGCTTTCCTCACAGCATTTGTGTCGTCAAAACGGCGGATATCGAGGATGCGTCGCGACATTGCAATATGAATGTCACGTAAAATTATGTATAAGCCGCATCTGTCTGTTACTGGTTTTCGACCAACTGTGCTTGACCCAATGTTGGCAGCGGCCCCAAATTCCACACCCCATGTTGTGCTCGAGTCAGCGGCATGGCTGGTAAACAGCCAGTCTAGAGATGCACCCCTTGTCTTTCCACCAGTCCTGATACGCCTGTCCCGGGAGGCACGCGACTCGAGTTCTCCATAGTGCTTGTCCACAACACCTCGGAGGCACAACAGCAAGTGTTGATGGACGTCAATGTCAAGGTCACGCTCGCTTCTTGCAGTGACAGACAATTCTGAAACCTCATACAAGAGATTCAACACATATTGGACATCCTTGTTGTCAATGGCAACAGAGGTCGCAACCTTCTTGGATGCCGTTTTGGATGCCGTCACTGAAGTTAACAAGTTGCGAATGAAGCCTCCATTCTTGGTGGGTGCCGTCAGCCCCTCGTCCATTTCCAACATGTCTGTAAGTGTTTTGCGGAAACCTTCGACTTTAGATTCTCGACCTAGGCGAACCAACTCATCGGCAGGTATCTAAATAAGAAGTTAGCATGCTAGCAGTAGAGTTCACAGTACAGTGCACTTGCACTTACATGCTTCATCACATTGAATAAACTGTTCACGTCACTGTCGACCTGTTGCCATTCCGCACGGGTTAGGACTGCACCAATGATATCCTTCACAGATTTTTTCATGTCATTTGAAAGGTGGCTGGATACAGATTGGGGTTGACCTATAATTGATCCAGTAAGGTCAACGATTCGATGCAAAAAGGGATCACGTTTTTGCTCCTTTGTTCCCGACAATCCCAATTGAGACTCCAAGATATTCTCGAGCTGTGCAGAAAGATTTGTCGGTGACAAAAGAGCGAATGGAAGAGGCTGATCACCATCGAAAACTCTCTCTTCGGCGGGGAGCCCAGATGGCGCGATGACGTCGAAGAGGGAGTCCGGCTCGGAAAATCCATCCTCGGACAGCGTGTCGTCATAATCTGACGCGGGAGAATAGGCCCGGATGCGTTTCTGCAGCACCTCAGGACTCGGTGATAGGGTGCGCTTTTTCTGGTTGAGTTTGGTACAATACACGTTCTGGCGGCTTTGATCTACACCAGTAATGTGCCCCTGACTATGTCCTACACTGACTGGCGCGTTCACGCTGTGGTCTAGCGTGAAAGGTCCTCGAACAAAGAGTGACCTGGGAAACATCTATGAAAAGATCAGAAGTATGTTGGAGGATATCAAGCCATTAATGCACCCTTTGGAATCGACTTACCTCCCGCCAAAACGTTCCAACGTCCTTTATAAAACACGTACATGTGATGACATAAAAGGACAAATGATGGTCAGTAGATTGCAGCTTCCCAATATGCAGCCTTTATTAGTTGCCGGTCCTCCATATGGGAGGCGAACGAGGTATTGGCCGAGTAATAGCAAAATCCTAGGGACACAGCGCCTCACAAAGGATTTGTATCTCCATCAAGTTGCCAACTTGGCGGTGCATAAGTTTCCTTTTGCACCATACAACGTTCACATTCCCCGCAGCGAATACGATGAAGATTAGGCTGCTTTGGTCAACATAGCTGGCGCTTGACGGGGTCACAGAGAAACACGGCGAGAGAGGGACAACCATTAGCGTGTCAGAAAGTCTAGCTACCACGGTTTCCACCTCAGTTCATGGAGGACAACCCGGGTTTGTGCAGCGTAGTGTTTCGTCCAGTAGTAATGGCCAAGTGTCCCATGCCGTGAAAGGATAGAGGTAATTACCTTTTTGTTGTAAACCGCGGCTGGGCCTACACTGTCCTTGAAGGCCTTCCAAAGATGGCCGTTCGCATACCTTTGATCCCAGCGCTCCAGACCACGAAAGGCGAACAAAGAGTGGTCCAGAAACCCGCGGTAGGAAGGGCACTTGGGTCCACTTTTCAAATATGCTTGCACTAACTCTTCCGCTTTCTTTTGGTCAATTTTCTTTTTCATCGCGAGACGGCCAAACGCGAAGGGTGAGCGACGAGGTATTCTGTTCCTTATATACGCGTGGACGCGTTCTTCAGAAGTGCGCAAAATTGCGCCAATCAGAAGCAAGGAGTGCTCCCCTTTACAAGTATAACAGACACTGGTGTCTAATGCCTAAGTTACAATGCAATAATCCAATCAATTGCAAGCAGTGACTGCCCACATCATTTAAGTCACGTTAATTGTATGGTTGCAATGTGAGATGCAGTGTGTCGTCATAGTCTATAGTCTATACACTCGCACACGCACAGTTACTGATTATGGGGCCTTCTGCGTGTCACATGACAGCGCTGGTGGCACGGGTGGCACAAATAGCACGTAAGGCTGGACGCGCAGGAACGCGACTCTTCCCCGTTCTCTTCACCGCAAGTCCATTTTCTCACGATGAGGAACTATCTCCCGCCGCAGCCTGTAATCGAAGATTTTGTTGAGAAAAACCCGGATGCCGGCTGGGAAGACTGGGTGGCTCGCATAGAGGAGCTCTTGGCTGGCTTTCCGGAAACCCGATTAGCAAGACAACAGAAGCATTACTTGCAACTTGCCAATTTGAAAGGAGTGAGTTTCCTTTTCGTTTTTAGTTTGTTTGTAGTCTGCACATAGAGCCTGCGTGTCGGCAGTTTTGCAGTTTGCACATCACGACGATTGGGGGTCACCCCTGGCTCGGTACTCCTGTTGCAGATGTGCACGAGTCTGCCAGTGAAGCAAGAGCTATCCCAGCTAAGCTATCCCGGTCTTAAACCTTCCCAATGTCACAATGGGACCATGATGCAGAAGATCCATCAGATATGGTTGGGAGTGAAATCCCCTCTCCGAGGGATTCAACCTCCGCCGATGAAGCGAGAGCTGTCCCAGCTAGGCTATCTCGGTACATTGTGATTGAAGGAAGGTTTCGAAGAATCATACTGTGTGTGTGCGAGCAAGAATTGTCACGTAGGCGACTTACACATATTTTTTCAGCCCGGAACATGAGACAAATTCTTTTCTTATCGCCAGAAGATCCGCTGCTAAATCCAAGAAAAGCAGCATCGAGAACAGAATAGAGTGGATCAGCTAATCAATGCACACAGGAATCTTGCCCTTTTGCAGCTTCAGAGGCACATCAAACGCTCGTGAAAATCGTCGACAAGCCTGATAACCAGTGTTCCCTGGATTCCCATAAACGCAAAAAAGCAAGACTCTTGCTCGAAGAAGATACTGCTGGTCCGGAGCCGACCGGGCTGGAAGAAGAATTTGTTCCGCTCGAAGAGATCACGGTGCTGCAAGAGGGATCGGTTCCGCCAGAGGAGATTGCGGGCCTGCAAGAGGTATTGAAAGGAGCGAATCTAAAATTGGAGCATGATGTAAGTTCCCAAGTTATTCCCCTTTTCTTCGAAATGATACAGCAGTTAAAATTATAATTCTGTAGGTGATTGTTGCAAATATCAATTGTTCGCAGTTGATACGCCAAGTTTTGAGTGATGTTTTATTGGACATGCAGAAACCGGAAGGCGATCAAAAATTTAATCAGTCCGTTCTAATGACAGTACCCCATGTAGATGCTTATACTGTGTATAGTACATTGAAAGGTGGTATTTTAGTCACCCGGCATCTTCCGGAGCCATATGAGAAATATTTGGATACTAGAAACTGGGCCAAACTCTACCATAGTATTGCCCATGAGACTCTTTGGGATGCCGTAGCTGCGGTGGCGCCACCGGCTATAGCAGCGGCCACACACAAGTTCGAAATTAGGAAGCTTGTCGAGGAAGAGACAGAAGATTCCCCTGACGATATGACATTCTCCGAACTAGCTAGGGATGAAGCAATACCACTCGAAGCCATGTCAGTGAAGTGTGTAGCATACATGCGGAAGCTTTATACTGAATGGTTTTGCTAGATATCCTTATGTCGGCGCCGACGCTCCAGCCTTTGAGCACGAACCGTCATATACTGGCAAATATGTCACTCCACACTTCAGCCGTCTATTATCTCCGAGATGGAAGCTATATATGTAAGTTCATCCACCCCAATTTTCATGCTAAGTAACACTTATCTTTGATGCTTCTGTCAGCGACACTGTAATGAATGACAGAAAGCATCCAGATATCACTATCAAAACTATGGATCGCATTGTCCTTGTTGCGGAACTGAAGTCACCCCATGCAACCAGTACCCAGCGAAACTTGCAGTTAGCTGATGGGCTGGAACGTGCAATGAAATTAGTGAAGAAAGATATGTTAGAATACGACTGGGGGCAAACTCCTCTGCAGCTGATTACCGCAATTGCACCAGGTATTTCTACATGATCTTGCCTCTGGAGATTCTTTTACTGACACACAAACACCAAGACGGCGCAGTCTTCCACATATATAATGTCCAGATTTATGAAGGCTTGTGTTTCTGCGTCGAACTAGGCAAGATCCCGATTGTTAATTCATTGGAAAATGTTGGAAATCTCCCTCGCTGCATTGCTGGTTTTCGCCGCTTGAAAGAGATTTTGAAAGCGAGTGGAGAGCGTCTTTGCAGTCAAAGGGCCCGCCATACCTTTCAAGATGCGCCCAACTACCCCATTACTCCTGATAAACATGGACTTCTTCGAGACCTACGCCAAGTCTTTCCCGATGCGCTCACTCCGGAGACGAAGACGAAGGAAAAGCGTCGTCGAAGCCAAGGTTAGCCGTTGTAGATATGTACAAAGATTTTGTGATGGCGCCATCGTGTTGTTTGAAAAACTGTCCTGTGGTAGATATTGGCCAAATTATCTTTGATACTTTTACATGACAAATTATCTTTGATACTTTTACATGAATGCACTGGTGGTTTGCTTTGTCCTGTGATTCCTGGTCACTTGCGCGTCTGTAATCTAAGTATCAAAGCCTTTAGATCTCGTCATGGAATGTGTTTTGAAGGCTCGATCATGACAGATGGTACCTCGGTGTCAGTTTACTTGAAACACCCTGATGCCGACAAGTATGGAAAGCGTGGAGCAAGAAAGTCAGCAAAGAGTTTAGAGGACAAAGTTAAAGCACAATACATGGAGAAAAACTTGTCTGCTTGTCGAGTAGCAGAGAACATCATTGTTGTTGACCCAAACAAGTGCGACATTCTCTACTGCCAAGACAGCAGTGGTACGACATTTTGCTACACCACCAACCAACGAGCCATGGAGACTGGAAGCCGTTGACAGCAAAGGCAATGGCAGCAGATGACGAAGAAAGCGGGAATTGATCACATAGAGTCACGAATACCATCTCAGAAGATGATGAACCTCATGGACTTTACTCACTACCTTCTCATTTGCCATGCAAATTCGGATTGTCAAAAGGAGTTCTACTCACATCCTGCCCACACGCAGTGGAAGTGGCATGCATTTATAAACCGTCAGAAGAGCAAGTCAAACCTCATATCCAACATGCACAACAAGTACAGTGAAAACTTTAACATTGTGATGGGTGATTGGAGTGATGCTGCGAGATTTCAGATGTCATCAAAAACAAAAGGTTGGCGCACGGTTTTCAAGCACTACCACATTGATTGTTTCCTGCTCGACGAGTATAAAACCTCATCTGTCTGCCCTCACTGTCATCCTCTGACGTTGAGAAAGGCTTCAAAACATGACCTCATTCAAGACCTTGGCAGCAACGTGAAGGCAAGATTGAAAAAGTCCACGGATTGCTGGGTTGTACCAACCCTAACTGTTTGCAGCAAGCCTGGACGATGCGCTACTAGAATCGAGATACGCTGAGCACCTGCAATATGCTAATGATTGTGAGATCAATGTTGGATGGGCACTGTAGACCAGAAGTGTTCAGCAGGAGGAGTGTTCCAGCCGAGCGTAGCGTAGATTGGTTAGATTAGCTTTTCCGAACCGGTTGTCGCCGGTTCAATCCCTGGTGCGCTAGTGCCAATGCCCATCGGCTCCGCACTATACGAAATTATCATTAGATGCATAGAAAAATACCCCGCCTGTTTTGCTGCATTTTTAAAGCATGTTCAACCAGTATATGCTATGTTGAAACGTAGCGGAAAACAGGGTCAATTTGTAGGTACGTCGGGTTGCAACATTGCAGTGGTATCAATTGGATCAGGACAAATGGCACAGCAATCAATTTATTGCAAAAAAAAACTAAAAAAACACCATTTTCTATTCGATATTTCCTTGCTATTTCCTTTCTTTCCTATATTTCCTTGCTGGATCTGCTATTTCCGATGCATAGCGACAGCTTACATCCGCTCCGACGGAGCACATCCTATTCTGCTGGCTCCGCGGGAGCTTCCCCTTCTTCTTGTTCACCTTCAGTTTAGTACGCCATGCTCATAGCATAGGGACGCAACACAAGCAACACAAGCAACACAAGCAATGGACGTTCTGAGGCACTCACCGAGAGCCGGCTGCGGAGCAGCTGCAATGGCAGCGGCTGCCAAGTGCACATATTCTGGTTTAGTACGGCAACACGAGCAATGGACTTTGTGAGGCATTCACCTGGGGCGGGCTGCTGAGCAGCTTCGAGTCCAAAAAATTGGGTTAGTGTTAAGCTTGGGTATGTATAAGACACGGCCCTTCCCAACTGGCAACCCAAACTGAGGCGGAGGGGGTGAGACCAGATTAATCGGCGCCACTCCGGGTCCGACCATATTCAACGGCGACGGTCCTTGTGAATATACGAAGTCCCAACGCTGATTGATCAGCCACCGTGCGAGGGTGGAGGAGAATGCTGGGACGTTATCTTTTCCGCCTGCCCGACGAACGGCGTCGTCGCCAGTTATGGTCAAATTCACCACGAACTGTTGGGGTCCGCCCGCAACCGCGGGCGAGAGGGACGCGGTCGCGGAAAGAAACGACGCCGTTCGGTGTCGTTCCAATACCATAGTTCTTGCTGGCTGTGGCGGCGGAGCCGCAAAAGTCAAATTGACTGGATCGACGTTAGGCGGGCCACCCAACTTTATCGAGACGTACGCTGGTCGCCCTTCCTCTGGCGGCTGCGTACGCAGCGCGAAACGATGTGTAGTTCCCAGCCAAAGCTGCGTGCGCGGCTGCCCATTGGTCGTAGTCAGCAGAATCATCTATGTATTGCGCTGCGCGGGCAGCGGTTGGTAAAGGATGATGGTTTTGATTCCTGGCAAAATGCCAGAACACAGTGAATGAGTAGCCTTGTTACCCTCATTGAGGACAGAATGCGACCTACCGAGCCAGATATCGTGCATTTTGTTAGTGAAAAGTAGGTTTTGTGGTTTTGGCAAGTTTTCGCCGGTAAGTTAAATTTGACGCCCGCGCGGTTAAAAGACCCTATTGCCATGGCAACAAAATAAACTTCGCAGATCACCTTACTAAAGGCGCAAAGCGTGGCTAGCTGATTATTCGCGATCGGAAACATACGAAAATTTCCATCGAAATTCTTTTAATGTATAACAACCCAAAAACAATGCAAAACGACGGCACTGAGATTACCGAGCAGCATCCTTCTCCGGGAACCTTCCCGTCTAGTAACAGTTTCGGTAAGAGCTACCCAGTGAGGGTCCCAGTTGAGTCTCATGACAGTGTCTACATTCAGGCTCTAACCTGTAGACTTAGATGCTGCTGGATCCCGGCAAGTGGATTTGGATGATAACAGCATCAATGTGTTTCGTGACGTGAAAGCGTTATTTTCCCCTATCGAAAGCGGCAATGCCGCCGGAATGTTGAAGACAGGTATGGCGGTTTTAGCCGCGGTCGCCACCAGCGGTCTCAAGTACGGTTCGTGGCTGTTGTCCCCAGAAAGCAATACTTGCCTGGCAAAACTCGACCCGGAGATCGTGGGACCGGGTCCCGAATTCCGTCTGGACTTGAGAAACATGGAAGCGTCTACGTCCGTCAGCCAAGATGCGGAGCAGTCTGAAACGCATGAGGCGGTACGTCCGCTGCGCAAGCGGTCGGTAGCTAATTATGAAGATTCGCAGGCGAAGAGGCCGCGACGTCGGAGACAGCAACAGCACCAGGGGACAGAGGCTTCGCCTAGCCCAGAGGCGTCCGCCCCTGAGCGTCCAAACCGCAGATCTGGTAAACGTGCTGCTGCTCCGCAGCGAGAACCGGAACTGTCGCCAGGTAAGTGGAGAGGCATGTTGAACTTCATACCTGGTTCATGGACTGATCTGGTCGCACCTCCTATGTAGCTGAAGTGATGCTAAAGAAGTTTGCGGAAGTGAATCGTGAATCCTTTGAGGAGTCACTCACCGCTGTCAAGCGCATTAAAAAGCCACCTGTCTGCAAGCTGAACCGTCAGCAGCAAGAGGAGTTGGAAGCACGTGTGGCCAAGGAACTCGGCCCTAGTTCGCCTGAGTTTACTCAGGCCATTTACAATCTGACATATGCCATGGGGGAATATGACAATTCTCTTGCTGTATTGGCAGCTGCTGAATCTTTCGCAAATTTGCGATCGGCCTGCGTTTATGCGGCGTTCCATCATGCCTCATTGGCACTGTACGACTTTTATAACAAAACTGGATGGCCCAAAGGCCTCGGGCCCAGAACATCCCCAAGGATCGAGAAGCCGCGACCGTCAGAGACATACCCCGATGAGGCTCTTCATATGAGGTGCTGGCGGTAGGTAAACCTTGTAAACTCAACCTTACAACTTTTAACCCTAACGATCATTTTAGCCAAAGGGTGCTGAAAATCGTAGATAAATTCAACTCTTTTGTGAAATGGGCCGTCAGTGGAGGAAAGTTACCCCTGAGTAAAGTTGTCATGTCTGGCGAGTTCCTCGCCCATTTGGCGGCCCTTGTGGGCCCTGGCGTTCTGATATATCAAAACGGGAGCGAGTTTTCCCATAGAGCGTTTCAGAGAATGGGAAAGCACGAGCAGGTCAAGCTCCTGTCGCAGCTGAAAGATAATGCGGAACCGAAGGAAACCGCAAGGCGTGCGTTGGGAAGCCCCGATGTCCTCAAATTACTCTCCCCGCTCTGGGGTCGTTTCCCGGGTAAAGACATCCCGCTCGAACAATTCCTAGAGCGGGTGTCCCGCATGAGCCTGCCGAGGCCAAAGAACCAAAAGCCAAAAACCGCGCTGCCCAGCAGCAATGACAATGTCGATAACAGCCGGAGTGGTAAGGTGCATACTTTAGCCCAACTTCCATACCCTCTCTCAATATGTTCCTTCTTGTTGTCCCCTGTACTGGCTCTGACATTCAGATAATATGGAACCGTCGTCACACGACGCTGACTCCTCGTATGAACAAGATGAAGTGGAAGAAGAAAATGATACATATGAGAACAAGAGCGATGAGGAGTCGGAATCCAATGCCGCTAATGAGTCGGAATCCAATACCGCTACTGAGTCGGAATATAGCGTCAATGACGACATTGAAGGCCCATCTGCCGCTTCGTAAGAAGCCACACCCATTTGAGCGGCATGTCTATCAGATGGAGGTTGTTGATGATTGCAAACGCTAACATATCCTTGTGGATGCTACGGCGTTTTTGAAAAATTGCTTTTTGTCAGCATTTCTGTATATTTGTATTTAGTAAATTTGGGAGTGTTGTCTCCTTCGTAAATATAACCTCTTGCAAGTTAGTCAATGAGTTATTGGCAAGACCACAACGGTTCTGAAAAGCCCTGGATCGCTACAACCTTGTCATGTTACTGTTTTAGTTAGCCATCTTATGCGCCCAAAATTAGAGGTCAAAGTCAGCTTGGTTTCGTTACTCTCTGGGCACAACGTTCCTAGAGATAAAGCTCTAACACTGAAATGGCAGCGGCATAGTTCCTAACAGAGCCATCTTTTAGACGCACTTAATCCCTATTATGCTAGGGCATTACATGACTTGGATTCGAAGAAGAAACTCTAAAGGAGGAAGAATTGACTGTCATTATGTGCCAATCAGAACTCCAGGAATCGGAGCTTCAGGTGGACTATATATTATAGAAAAGGAATTCTTGTAGACAAAGTTTTACTAGTAGTATATGTTGTAAATTATATTACATTGATCAAATTATCATGCGCTATCTATTATACAGCCACGTAGTCCATTACTGTAATCATAATGCTGTACTTATCTGCCCCTTCCATGTCCATAAATGCTCTATATAAGATCTGCACGTACCTGATGATGATTTACAGAATCGCACAACATTCTTGTTCTTCGAATATTTGATGCCAGTGTACTATGGTGAGCTTAACCTGAGCTCTGGTTTCTGCCGGTGTAATTGTGATAGAAGACAAGTCGGTAGCAATATCAACTAGACTTGCACTTCCTTGATCTTCAATGATCATATGACAGAATGCCATCATCCAGTACAGCTCGTATCGAATATATGATGGGACAGATAACGGGTACGCAGCACAAACACAGCAGCGCATGCGTTAAACCAGGATTGATGGAAACCAGGATTGATGGAAACCAGGATTGATGGCATGGCCATACCGCCTTAGCAATTGCTATGAAATAGTGCGTTGAATGAATGCAACCACACGAACCCACAATGGAAGAAATTACAAATATCCAAACCGCTGTGTGGTGTCCCATCACATACTCGATAAGAGTTGTAATAACCCTGTTTACTACCTGCCAGTCCGGGGGACAACAAATAAGAAAATATTTGGAGAGGATAATTGTAGGTTGGGTTAGAAGTTGGCAAAGTCCAGACGCAACCATGGGCGCACTTGAGAATGTAGCAACGACAATGCGGCAGGCACTTCATGGGCCGACGTGGAAGTCAACAATGGTGATATCGACACTTCAGACTATAAAAGTAGGTTGGGTTAACATTCCATGCGTTCTTCTGGTGTTAGCTCTGCACGCAATGGTGGCCATAGTTGCGGTGAGAGAAACACCAGAAGGGCGTATGGTAGCAAAGCAGTCAAGGCTCGTCCAATGGAGCTGCATCGCCCAGCGACGACACAGCTACCGATACTGAGAGCTCCACAGGTTTTTGATTTTGCATGATATTTTATAGAGAATCCAAAAGCACTGGCGATACCAGTTTCGGCAGCTATCTCCTTACATGATGAGTTCGGTCGCGAATAAACCAAAGAAAGAGCTGCCCCTTTGCACCTTGGCGTCATGTCATAAGCCTACTTTGTCAGCATGACTTTCGTTCCCGGACCCATCAGGCTGAAGACAATCCCGCGAAGCACACCCCAGAGGAGACAGCGCAGGCCGCAGTGGTTGAGGGAAATGCAGCGGAATAGGATGTGCCTTCTTCTTGCTCAATTTTTGCCAGAGGAGTAGGGGCTGAGGCGGTGGCAGCTACGAGCAAAGAATTCGGTCTAGTATGCCATGCGCATAGCATACGGACGCAACACGAGCAATGGACTTTGTGAGGCAATCACCTGGGGCGGGCTGCTGAGCGGCTGCTGCTAGGGGGGGCAACATTCGGCTGGTGTGCAGCAGCAACGACGATGGCTGCCAACCGCACATATTCTGGTTTAGTACGGCAACACGAGCAATGGACTTTGAGAGGCACTCACCTGAGGCAGGCTGCTGAGCAGTTGTGATCGCAGTGTCATACTGCGTTCTTCCCTCCTTTCTTTGCGTTTTCACCATACAAAGAACGGATTACTTGGGAATGTCGCGGTTTTCTGACCCCACAAAAGTTGACGGTGTATAGGGTCGTAAACCACTATAGACATTTGTGTTGCATTTGCTGCGTTATCCGTACATATAACAACATTCTTCATGGCGGCGCTCTCATATAGGCTCTTGTGGACATATGTGTCTTTTTAATAAACCCAAGCGATATGAAAGCAATGTCGCAGTATGTTATAGTGCATTACATTAGTGCAATCACTCCACACATCCCAATCTCAGTTGATGTGTGCCATAAATGGGTGATCATCTTATAATACAAGAGAATAACTGGGCGTGCCTTGGTAATTTGCTTATATATAGCCATGAGGGGACAGGGAGCGAGAGGCAAGGGATTCGGTTAATATGAACTGAGCAGGATTTAGAGGCTTCCGAGTGGGTGATCAAGCTGTTGAAGGATGCTGTTTGGTTCCTGTAGACCTAAAGTGAGAGTTGAGAAGCTAGTTATGGGGATTTAGTGTCGCTACGGCTTCTGCCTGGCGACGTTGCTCTGTTGATATACTCTAATATACAAGATTCTCGGATGATTTTTCTATGCTAAAACTACAGTGTCACTACAACTGATCTGTTGGTAGCGATACTGATTCTTTCCGGGTTGTACGAAATATACTAAGAAAGGTTGAGTTGCGATAATTGCAGGCACCACGCCCTGTTTCTTGGTCGCGGTAGCCGCGTTTTCCGTCTTCAGAAACCGAAATAAACATCCACGTGCCCTCATCTGGCTAGTTAGCGACATCCCTAGGCATTTCCTGTCGCCACACTACCTACAAGTATGCTTATTATATTTTTTAGTAAAAGAATTCTGGTGGACAGTATTTATAGCAGGATATGATTCCAGTATCATATATCATTTATTTGGGATATCTGTGCCACCTGTGCCACGCAGAGCTGCAGCTCGGCTTGGCTCTAAGGGGTCAGCTCATGGTTTGGCTTGGAGCGAGCTGTTAGCCGAACCGAGTGAGCCGTTGCCATCACTAGTGTGGATGCCAAATTTCAAAAGTCCTTTCAAATTTGGAATTGGCGAACATGCCCTTATGCCTATACACAATCCCCAACCATGATATCCGTCCTAACCACAAATTTACATCCTATCTCCACCTCTCTTCCCTCATGCAGAACCTCTTGCTCAAAAACCACCGCCATTCCAACTTTTCCAACAACTTCAACCATCTCCCTCTCTCTCCCTTTCCCAAACCAAAATGCTGTCTGTCCACCATGATATTCGGAAGCATCAGTCAACCAAATTTGCAGAGTATACTTGGAAACTGCACCCGAGGGAGACACATGAGATCCGTCCCGATGCCGCAGAAAAAAATCCTTGGGCTGATATTTTAGGAACCGCAAGCGAGGATTGAGTGATAGACTGTTCTTATCTATGTTCAGTGGAATGTTGTTTTGCAGAAAAGGTTGGATTCGAGACCAGATCTGGGTTGATAATTCGCAGGAGTCGATGATGCATCGCGAGGATTTTCGAATGTTTGGGGCGTATTTTTCTGCTCCTGTGCCGTTATTTAGCAGGGCTGGAATGTAGCCTTTGGATTCTGTGTAAGCAATGAGTGATCGGCATTCATTTGAAGTCAGTAATGGATGAAGAGTAAATGCTGTAATGTGAGGATGTGATCGGGAGAGATTGGACATGGTTGGCGTCGGCGGTGTAGTATTGAGTTGTGGCAGCGTAGTGTATCTTTTCTGGTATGACGATTGTGCACGAGAAACACCCTGCTGAAAGATGTGCCTGTACAGCATGGAGAGCCCAGTATTATTCTGATAATCAAAAGCAAATCGAAAATATATCCATCCGTTCCAGCCAGGCAATGCAGGAGGCCACGCACAAGGCAGCCAGCGCAGGCTTGGGCATCCAGTCAGACGGCTAGGCCACCGGAAAATTTCCACAGTTACACAAGTAATGTGGCGCTCTTTGATGGATCTCTGTTTTCCGAGAGATTCCCCAAAAGCTACCGATTTGTATTTACAAACTCTGCGGGCGTGGGTTCGGCTTTCCAGGCATTCCTGACACGAGCAACGCATTTGCAAGGTTTCCTAGACTTGAACCCGCATCAACACACTCATGCTTTCTAGTTGGGTTACATATGATAGGATATGGTAGTAATAGTAGATTAGAATGCATTTGTAACCCCGCACTAAGAATAAGAACTTTAAACCCTAACCCTAACACTAAAAAATTTGGAAAAAAAACCCTCAACCCTAACCCATGTAATAGACACCAACCTTGATCCTAACCCTAACCCTCTCTAGAACCCTTAGTGTTGACATTACGCGTGCTGCTGCTAACTGGAACAGAGCTACCATTCTTTTGCTTTGAATATCCATTTAGTACCTGTTTGACTGCAACAAGGAAGATGGCAGAGAACGACATGTGCGTCAGACCGAAGACATAGGCCAGTTGCGCTAGGGTTCGGTTCCAACTCATTCGGGACGACTCCTGGGATGGACTTGACAATGTAGACGGTGAGGCCAATCCAGCTCGCGCTGTCACGACAAAAGGAATTAGCTTTTCAGACATTTTGCGTGACTTGCAAAGAACAGCAAACCTACCAGATTAATCCAGCCATGGCGTAAATTGATCGTCTATGCGCTTGATCATTCACTATCTGCGCCTCAGCCCCGCATGAGCTTTCTCGTTTGATCTTTAACAGCCGTTTGTATATAAGAATCGGTATAACGGTGTCAAGACTGAGCAGGTAAAGAATGAAAGCTGCGTAGAGGCCTGATTCTACTCTCTCGAAAGGAAAGCCGCCTTCGTAATTGTCGACCGTTCCGATTACAGGCTCTTTTGCTGCCTGGTAAAAAGTCATCAGAAGTCCTGGAAATGAAGTGATCATCCAGAAAACCCCCGTGGCCTTTTGTAAAGGAGTTACTGTTGAGATGCCCACATCAGAGCCCACATCTTTCTCTCCACTTACCACAACCATGGTTCGATCAATGACCGGATTGTACCAGTTCGTATTGAACAGTCGAAACCTGAACAACACCAGCAAGACATGAATCAAACATCCCGCATTCCAGAAGAAATCTGCGCAAGCGTTGCTCACGGCGTCATTGAAGTACGGTTTCTGCGCACGGACAACATTGGATATAGCAAAGGCCAAATACAAAAGGGATTCAACGGTAAGTGCGACGGTGAAGGGCGTGCGCTGGCCGCGAAGTCAGCCAAGCGCGTAGTAACAGTTTCTAGGGGAAGGGGAGTTAAACTTCGTATTTCGAGCGTCAAGGAAGATCTAAATGCAACCTTATTTGCACGGCCAGCGCGATGGCGGCAAAAGCGATGGTAAGATCTTCAGCTGTACGATCCTGGGATGGCATGATTTTTGTGCCTTCAGCAGTAGCATTTCTGAGGTCGGGAGTGGGATACGCATGTGGCTATTTGTCTACCGCAAGGTACGCATGTGCATTTGATGCAAAAAAATAAGAAGTGCGCCATCCGATGTTAACAATGTTTGCATCGTCTTGGTAGAAAGGTTTTACTGTATTGACAGATTGCCTCTTACTATTCCCGTTCACAAAAAGTTGCGAGGTGCACTAAGCACAATGTTACTGACGGATGGAATTATGTGCAGCATTGTTTGGTAACAATAAGCCAGTCTAGTTCAGCTCAATATTTTGTCGCTATCATGCAACGCCTCCCTTTATGGTGTATTGTTCGCAAACAATGCAGGTCCATCTGCTGGTAACGCGTACTTATTACCAAGGTTGATTGTTCCCAAACAATGCAGCTCGATCCGCCCGTAATGTTTATTTATAACAATTGAGCTGAACTTAGGGGTTAGGGTTAGGGTTAATGAATGATGAGCAAAGGTTAATGTAATGTAAAGGGTTAGGCCTAAAAATGTGACGTCGGTGGATGAGGGTTACTTAGGCCTCGTATGAATAGATCACGGCTATCGAACAATAGATATCGTTGTCCTCAAAATTCCCACATTCCTGAAACCCATCCATAACCCGTATATTAAGAAGTCTTGCTGTGTTTGTTCAGATAACACTTACTATATCAACGTACCGATCTGTTAACAATCAAAGATGCCTTCGCTTTGTCTTTTTCTACTTGGTCTTCCGCTTCTTGCGTTGGTTTCTGCTACTCCTGCGAGCATCAGAATCGGTATCAGGTAGGCAGCGCGTCCTGTTTTCCAATGGCAGACACCCTACTAACACCTCTCCATTTAGTCTGGACTTTTACGGTGCGGACCAAGACTGGTGTTTCAAGGTCCTCAATGTCACCAACCTCCGGCTTACCCAGCTTCTGAGCCAATCGGATATTCATCAGGATCTGAAGCTCGTTGACCCAACCTCCCCCCCCCATTCAGCTCATCGTGAACGACAACTGGGATCCAGATCCAGATGTCCTGATTCCGACTGCTTCAACCTCAATCAATTCGGCCATTCATCTGGCCTTGATTGATGGAGTAACGGCAGTCATCGGTGCCGGATACTCTGATGCCACAAAGGGTCTGGCTGCGGCGGCAAACTTTTTCGGAATGCCTGTTTGCGATGGTTCGTCCGCGAATGCTGGGCTGTCGAGCAGGAATGATTATCCCAACTTCTTTCGTACCATTCCGAATGATAACTTGGCTGCTGAGGCGACAATCAACCTTGTGTTGAACACGTCCTGGACCCGGTTGGGTAAGTAAGGGGAAGCGATATGATGTATTATGACTGATTTTCAAAGCTGAACGTCTCCAAATAGGTTTCATCGCTCCGACTGACAACATGGGCACGGGGTTACTTACAAGGGCGATCGAGTATGCGAAGTTCATGAAGGTTGACATCGCCACCGTGCAGACATTCTATCCGGACAATGACGACTTCTCCCTTCTCGTCAGCAAAGTGATTGAGTCTGCTGCGACGGTTCTGGTCTATTTCGGCGCCCCTGAGGGGTTGACGGGTATTCTGAAAGAGGCCGAGAAACGTGGAATGGTGTCTACCGACTATCAGTGGATTGCGTACAGTGATCCGTCTCTTATCCATGCTATGGATCCGAACAACCCAGATGCGGGCGGCCTTGAACCTGCTGAGCTTCGACTATGGCACGGTGTTTGGCAGCCTTACCCTCGCGAAGCTTCCGGAGACATTTATAAGAATACCTTTCTTCCTGCCTGGCAAATGGAATATGCCAATGGCGATATGTCGGCATCTCCCACGAGCTATGCTATGTTTTTCGCCGGCTGGTACATTTCCTCTCATCTGAATGACAATGCCCGGTTCTTAATCAATCGCTTCTCCTTAATAGTCTCGAGATGATGGTCTACGGCTTTGACAAGCTTCTGAAAAGTAACACAGTCACCTTCTCGGATCTCGCTGATATACACACCAGTGGATTTAGGTTTACTGTTCCAGAAGATTTCTCCTTTCCGGAGAAACAAGGTGTCACCGGCTCGCTGGCACTGGATGAATACGGCGACCGACTTGCAGCCATGGATATATTATACTATGATTATGGTACTGACTCCTGGATTCCGTTTGGCACATGGGATAAGGCAGGGGAAAAGGCCACTTACGTCACACGTTATGCGGAGCCCGTATATTTCAACGGGGGTACAATGAGGCCTTCGGATGTATTGCAAGTCACCACGCTGTTGACCACGGTCGATGTCCATGACGGGATGGGTACCTTTACTATTGTTCTGTGTGCCATTGCTGTGCTTGCTATTTTATTAGTGATGGTTATCTTGGCGAACGAATGGAGTAACCCAATTTTCAAGGTGGGCCGAGTCATTGATGAGCCGTTCAGCACGTCTCACCCACTCTGTTTCGGCGAACGAACAGGCAAACAGTCCGCCAATTTTAGCCACTACACTCATCGGTATTTTGACTGGCACCTTCTACCCAGTAACTCTCCTGGGAGAACCATCTCAGGCGGCTTGCGTTGCTGCTGCCTGGCTCATCCCTTGTGGCCTGGGTCTCGTTCTAGGCAGTTTGCTTGTAAAAACTTTCCGTCTTTTCGCAATCTTCAGGAGACAAGGCGCAAGAAAGATCGGTACCACAAACAAGCACATGTTTTCCTGGCTCGCCACTGTAGCTGGCATTTATGTGGTACGTCGCCAAAAATGCAGGGTCGGCCAGCTGTTGATGTAGGAGTAACGATTGCTGCAATTAGGTCATTGTTCTAGTATGGACCATTGTAGACCCACCGCGTCCACAGAAAGAAGTTTACAATATCATTAGCCCCAGTTTGGTAGAGTCCCGGGCTTTCTGCGCTTCCTCAACGGGTCCTCGACAATGGGCTGTGCAGGGTGCGGTAGCGTATACCTGTTGTGCTGCAATGCTCTGCTTCGTCTGACATCCAACGCCTCTATAATCACAGGCATCCTCTTCGGATACACAGTCCTTCTGCTCATTGCCGGAGGCTTTATGGCCTTCGCCACCCGTAACCTTCCTAAACAGTTCAGCGAGAGCAAATCTTTGGGGTACGTTCTCTACGCTTACAGCGGAATCATGATTTTTGTCCTCCCCATACTCTTCCTTCTCGATATCTCCTACTCTGGATACTTGATCATCAAGGTCATTGCCACATACGCAGCCGTGTTTCTCACGCTTGGTATCTTGTTCGGAAACAAATTATTTCAACTGTGGCAATCGCGCCAGGCGAATAGGAGCAACAATGATCTTTTGCGAAGTGGAATTCGAAAGAAAAAGGATCCAACGACGGATAGTTGGGCGGTTAACTCGGTTTCCAAAACGGCGGTAGGCTGCATTGTCGTTTTCTACCTTAAACCTACCTCGGCGCTCACGGTTCAAATGTTAGACCAAGTACGGGAAAGTTTGGGTGTCTGATCGTCAATCAATGGTTTCCTTCTGGGCCGAAAGGACACTTATTGTCTATGCAGATAAAGCTATTGCACTGCTCGCCGGAGGTGCAAAGAAGCATGCAGCAACGGTACGATAGTTTCATGTCCTGGAGTTAAGCTATCTAACACCCCCTCGCCCCCAATTCCAGACGTGTCGCTACTTTCCACTTTTAACTTACGAGTTCTCCACCCAAGTCGAAGAGTCCGAGGGCATTTACACCCTCCGCCTCCGCCATTCCACTGATCCAGCCTCGAGTGTTACCGTCCGAGTCCCATCAGCGCAAGAACTGGAGGAATGGGCCACGTTGATCGCCAAACTTTGCCGTCGTACATCCGATGTGATTCCCAATAGTAGGGCTAACAGACCCGCATCAAGCAATCCCGGTTCTGTAACAAATCAGAGCGAAAAATCGAACAAGGTAATTCCCAAGGTGCATGGGCCTGGGTCTTTGAGTCGTATCAGTGGTTTTGCCGAGAACGGCAAAGCAGCTAAGAGCACATTAGATGACTCTGAGGTCTGAGAGGAGAAGTATGCTCACTCGATAGTATAGCAGTACAGACATGATTGGGTATTGAGTGGGCAGGGATGCCCATAACTAGATGTCACTAGGAATGGATGCAATGGTGAAATTTTCCAGAGTGCGACTGGAATGTAAGGACTTTCAGATGAGATCGCAGTCAGTAGAGCTCAACCACTGTTGGTAGAGCTAAACCATCTTCTGATCCATTTCCTCAATGGGTTAGGGTTAGGGTTCACGGTTCTTAGTATAATGCGGGGGTACACATGGGTTTCTGCTATATCCTACTACTAGGTCCCAATCTACTACTAAATCGCAGCGCTGGGAGGGATCCTTACGTTCTGTTAGATCGACGTTTGGGGCACTATCTGGGCCGGCGATTGTAAGATGCCCGCCTGGTCAGCGGTGCGGGTCGGGGGGTCGGGGGTGGCTTGTATGCGTCTTAGTAAGGTGGGAGACATAGTGATAGTTTGTTACTTGTAAGGAGTTAGCTAGTTGGCTTTAAGGGCTGGTTATCCAGTGGTTCAATCCACATTGGTGTATTGTGTGTGACACTAGTTCTTGCCAAGACACTATTGATTACGTACATATTGGAATGGACATGCAAGGATGCACAGCGGACCCGACGGTCTTCATCTATCTAAAGCTGGAGCTATGACACAGAATGAGACCGCGGGAAACACACCGCACACTCTTCTCAAACCGCACTTTCGATTCGATTCAACAATGGGGTCAAGAAAAGGGCAAGGGCAGGCGGTAGTGAGCTCCACAGATGTGCTACTCCGGATCTTTGCTTTCTGCAGCTGGTCAGATCTGCTTGTCTGTGAACAGGTTTCCGTGAGCTGGTGTGGGCTGATCCGCGGGCCCGTTGGTCAAGCTCACATTTGGAAACGTCTCTTGCACATTACCTTCTTTCCCGGCACTGCCCCGGATCTCTACGACGTCAACGAGACATGGAGGGATCTTGTGTTGTCTTCCGGTGCTTGGTCGCGTCCTTGGCCGGAGACCCCACTTCCCACTCATACTGGTGTATGCAAAAAGAATTTACCTCCCGTTTCGGGCCCGTGTGGAAAGGCAGTAACGTGCGTCGGAGCGTTTCATCGTCAGCCGGTGGAAGACTCGCATGCTCGCTTCCATGTTGTGGGCAGCTCCGTAGTGCATACATCATACCCTTTTGAGCGTAAGCCGCTGAGGTCACTTCGGTTCTTTTTCTTTTAAAGCTGAAGCTGAAAGGCCCTTCACTCTTTTGTGTCGTCGGGCATTCTGCCATGCTATCTCAGCTACAAAAACATGGCAGCTGAATCTAGCGGAGCTATCCCGATCTGTACGACACACTCCGGTGACCACGCTAGTACCGTCTCTGGCGAGCCCCTTTTTCGTACTTGACGATATGAGAGGGCAGGAATACCTGGTCCATGCCTCTAGCTGGTCTCACAAAATCAACACGGCGGCCAACACGTTTGCAAGCGTTTGTGGACGAATATGTGTAACTCGTAGACGGGACACTCAATTGGGCCCGCTGGACGTGTGGGAAATAGTCGGCAACCCTATCACTCCCGGCGAAGCTGTCTCTGCATCAGACACGCCGCCGTCTCCCTCCGGTCCACCAACATACTATCTTCGGAAGCTCTTTCAAGTACCATCTGCCACACCCGCTGCATTCAACGAGAAAATGCTGGGATACGTTACTCAAGATGCTGACGGAGAGGACATTTTTCGTCTGGTTCGCATCGCCGATAATTACCTTATTGCCGAGTCTGACGAGTACGCATTGGTTCATCCAGAGCATCGCATTCAACTACCCCCCGATAATGGGTATCACATGACGCGAACACATTTATTCGTTCACTCGTCAGAAAACATTACAGTATTCGATCTTATTTCTCTACAACAAGTTGCCACGATTGAAGATCCGTTTGGTTTGGAGGATGAAAAGTCATTTGATGACGGGGACGACGAGGACGATGACGAATACGAAAGTCCCGCTGCCCCCATGCTGTTTCCAACCGTGGACGGCACCGTGCTTTTCAGCCCAAATATACGCCGGAGAAGATGCCAGATCATAGAGCCTATGCACAGGCAAAGGCTTTACTTCGACATCCCCTACGATTCCTCCCACAAAGACGGGTTTTTTGTGGTTGCTAAAATCTATGATCGGGACGAGCACGGCAAGCGATCTGGGGCCATTCCATCTGATTATGTTGTTTGGAAACAGTATCCGAGAATCCACTCTTCATCGTAAGATAGTTTCCGAAAAATGGCGAACAATTGTTCGCCCATCCGGATCACCACAAGGCAAATCGAACGCATGTGTAAACAGCGAGTTATGAAGGGACATCATTTTGCATCGCTCCTGGAAACCTTTAGGTACAACGGGT